CGGACAGACCTAAAACTTTTTCAAAGCACTTCCACTCAAGACAGCATCACTGGTGCTCTGGTGACAAAGTGTCCAACCTGGATGTTGGCGGAACGCCGATACCCTGCTGGTGCACGTGCTTAGTATCTTTGCAGGCAACCTGTGAAGCTGCGGAAACTGTTATGGGACTCTAGACAAACCTCAAAGACAAAGGTACAAAGAATGAGGAGTTTGCAATGGGATGGATTTGGCTTGAATCCCAGCTCTGCCATCTACTGGCTGGATGAGGCCACTCAGCCTCCTGGACCTACAGGATGGAGTTCTCATCTATGCAAACCAGGGGGTTACAGTCAGTAACTCACAAGGGGCTACAGGACTCCAAAGATAGGCGCGCAAGTGTGTTGTAAACACTTAACATCCCATCCAGGCATGGTGACTCACACCTGTCACTCCAGCACTTTGGGAGGCCAAGGCAGGAGGATCACTTGAGCCCAGGAGTTTGAGACCAGCCTGGGCAACAGAGCAAGACCCCATCTCTACAAAAAATTAAAACATTAACTGGGCATAGTGATGCATGCCTGTAGTCCCAGCTACTCAGGAGGCTAAAGTGTGAGAAACAGTTGAGCTCAGGAGGTTGAGGCTGCAGTGAGCAATGATCAAACCATTGCATTCCAGCCTGGGCAACAGGGCAAGACCCTGTCTCTAAAAAATAATAGTAATAATAAATATGTTTAAAAAATAAAATAAAAACACTTAACGTCCCACCCAAGTACTCATGGGTAGATAGAACCATTCCAGCCGAGGGGTCACATGAGCAAAACCTCAGCAGCAAAACATACACAAATATTTAACCTGGAGTCCAAAGGAAAAATCAGTGAGAAAGATGATGACATCCAATATCCACAGAGTACGTAGCACTATGAACACTCAGTATTGTTCTCTTAGTTCTTCTTTTTTCCGGGGGCAGTGGAGGGGTGGGACAGAGCCTTGCTCTGTCATCCAGGCTGGAGTACACTGGCTCCATCTCAGCTCACTGCAACCTCCACAACCCCCAGGCTCAAGCGATTCTCCTGCCTCAGCCTCCTAAGTAGCTGGGACTACAGGTCTGCGCCATCACGCCTGGCTAAGTTTTGTATTTTTAGTAGAGATGGGGTTTTGTCAAGTTGGCCAGGCTGGTCTCGAACTCCTGGCCTCAAGTGATCCACCTGTCTCGGCCTCCCAAAGTGCTGGGATTACAGGCGTGGGCCACCGTGCCCAGCCTAATTCTCTTAGTTCTCACAGCCATCTTTGTGGTAAGATACTGTTATGAACCCTTGCTAAGGGCTGCAAAACTGAAGTCACTCGCCTCAGCTCATGCAGGAGGATGGGGACAGAGCTGGGATTCTGGCCCAGGTCTGTTCAGCCCTATTGGGACTAGATGCCAGTCAAACTTCTGTTTCCTTGTATTAAACCGGGGTGAAGAATGGTATCCTCCCCCAGTCACATGGTTGTAAGAACAAAATAGGTCAATACGTGCAACGTACTCAAGCTAGTTCCCTAGACATCTCAGGCACTCGGCAAGTTTGCACGCTTCCTACATGCCCCGTGCCATTCAGGGCTCTGGGGTGGGCAGGTAGGACAGAAGGCGCTGCTCAAGGGTCACCACCATTGTCAGTGAACATTGGAGCCCTGGTGCCAGGGAACATTGACTATGTGCAGAGGGAGGGAGCCTGAGGGTCACACTCTCCAAGGGCAAGCACTTTGACACAGCCCTGGGTGAAGAGTGGGGAGCTGGCAGGTGGGGCAGGGGACAGGGCCACTGCTCCCCTCAATTCCAGCAGGGTGAGGCCTG